TTGAGCATTCGTCTTGATGAAAGGCAATATACTTAACTCCAAGGTATTGGTAATCACAAGCTTGCGAATCCATGCCAGGTTACTGATGTTGCACCAGGTCTTCGAATTTCTTTATCAGATCTCCAAATGCAGAGTGTACCAATATCATAATAAGATAGATGGAGTGTACTGTCACATACCATTAATTTTGTGCTCAAATGTTTCCCATCCAAAAGCTTTGGCAAGGGTATTATACGATATGTTTTCGGTTGATTAGTTTTAGGCCCAGAGATCATAAATCCTACACCATGGTTGCTGTTTGTCAATAAATATATACATATGCTGAATTCCATAAAAATGACAGCACCCTAGTTATCTGTAAGCAACTTATGAGCAGCATCATCAAAGTCATACCCTTCCAACCCAAATCCAACCCAAGTACCATCTTCCGAATAGTATACCTCATACTTGTGGTACTCAAGGCTAAATCTCACAACAATAAATGACAAACAAGATTCCTAGATGGAAGTTGAATAATGGCACCCGCCCGACTACAATCGGTTTCTGGACCATATAGCAACACAATAGGTGACTTGGGCACAACATAGACTTGGTTAGTGGCAACATTGTGTACCTCATAAGTACCATCATATAATCCCAAGAGTAACAACCCGAGGTAGAAAGTGAAGAAACTACCCTGCCTGTTGGGATTCAAGGGATTAATCTTGTATAAAGGTCCCAAATCGAACGATAAGTTAGTCAATAACCCCTTATCATACCCACTATTAATAGCATCAACATACCCATCAATGGCACAACTTTTTGGTATGTTGATAAACTTCTTAGTTTTAAAACAAAAATAACCCACCAAATCTTGTGTGTTAGTGGCAAGCCTTAAAAACAAACCACAATTAGGAACTTTAAATTTCTTCCTAAAATTATAGACAATATACCTCCATTTCTTGCACACAACAGTACACATCGCAAGAGGCTTGATTGGCAGTCTAGATAGAATCTCAAGCCACATCTCAAGAGGTAAATGTACGCGCTTAAAACGCCTCCTACGCTTACCATGTTTGTTTTCCATCGTCACCTATCTACCACAATTAACAATTAACCATCAATAAAAAATTACTCTTTACCAAATACTACCTCAAATACAGGTCATGTGCAACGATTTGACATAAAGCACAAAGGGAAAATGTCTAATCATTGCCCTTGCCCATAACCTGTAACGGAGGGAGTAACATATTCAAAAGTGAGTAAACAAAATTATCACGAGTATTAACTATCACGTAATAAAAATTTACTCTTTAACTGCTTTTATTTTTTTATTCAAACTAAAGCAATACGAGTACTAATTTGATGATTACTTTTCATAAACTTAGTATGTAGAACCAATATTTGAGATTTTCTATTAGCAACCAAATATGATTCAATTATCTGGAAAAATCACATAATTTTAGGAATATGAAATTCAATTATCAAATTAGGCTCATAAATTTCTTTGCTAGCAACATAATCGGTGGTTATGATCCTTCATAATCTTAGTAATAGAATTAATAATTGAGAATTTCGAACCCTAAACTTATTGCATTGACAATTAAATTCAATTAGATGAAAGATGAACCCAGATTGTGAAATTGATATGATGAATACTAAAAGAAACAACAACTTACCTCATAAATGGAGAACGTGGAGTGCAATGAAGATGAATTGATGAGTGCGCTTCAATGGAGATGTTAAGTGCATTTCATCAGGTTTTTTTCTCCTTATTTATTCACAACATTTCAATGGGCCATTAATAAAAGCCCTAACCTGTCCATTCATAAATGGGTCAGATCTGTCCAATAAGTAAGTGGCTTGGGTCTTTTTATGGTTAATTATTACAGTATTACTCTATCTGTTTTTAAATATAAATACTTGCTTTATTTTTCCAAGCCATATGCGGAGTTTTAAGAAAAATTAGAAAGTGCAATAATTTTGAGTAATAGATACATCGTATTATGTAAATGGAACACGTCCTTGGGTTATAGGAAAAATGATTAATAGCACTCTTTTTTTTTAAAACAACGAATGATAGCACTTTTGTAGTACTCAATTAATAACATTTTTACTTCAAAAATTGAATAATTGCCTTTTAATTTAAATTTTAAAATAACAAAGCAAAAAAAAAAAAATAGGTTGTGTTGAGATTTGATCTCACGTCTTCCTCTAAATGCATTAGCTCCTTACGTCTTACTCTATAAAAACAAGCCTATAGGATTAAGTCATTTTGTTCTTAACTCCTTCCCTTTTGGCTTTTGCTCACACATCTATGGCTATCACTCGCCTTTGTTAATTATTTTTGTGTTCTTATGTCATACATTCCTAAATAACTATCATGATTTTTGTAATGGTCATATCATCTTCATTATCATCCAACTAATTAAAATGCTTATATAAATCTAAGTTTTAATTTGAGATAAAATATTATAACTAGCTTAATACGCTAAAATTTACATAAGCTTACTAGTCGATTTACGATGACATCCAAAACAACAAAATATGGTATTTGTCTATTGAATATCAACACTCATAGTCCGTCCCTAAATTTACTTTAATTTTCATCTTCTAATTTTACATTTTTTTTCAATCCTTGTTCACATTCTCTTGTACAAATGTTGCATCTACTTAACTTTTTAAACTTCTATCATTTTCTACGGATCTCTCTTTTAAATTCTACCAAGTTAGGTCCCGTGCCACGCATGGTAATATTCAATAAATTAAAATTGAATGGAACAACAAAAATGGTAAAAAAAAAATTAAAATAAAAATAAAATCAAACTAAGCTAAGAATAATCAACATTTGTTGTTCTTGGCAAGCATTATTGAAGTATCCGTAGTTAGTTATAGAGTATTAATTGATAAAAATTCTAATCATAATCATTCAAGGAAATAACAAAAGTATCATTTGTTGATATGATATTCGCATTTTATTGTTGAAACTTGTAGCTTTGTATAACATAATTTTAAAAAACAAGAGAAATATATACGGAATATAATCATATTGTAATAACCGTACTAAATACATAATGTCTTTCATAAAAAAAAAAAAAATCCTCCATATGTCACAAATAAGGTAAGATTTTTTTTTTTTTTACCTAAGTTTATGGTTGTCAATATGTCTTTTTGGAAATATACATCAAATCTTCAATTATGCTTTGTAAGTAATTACGAGTACTACTTTATATATATATATATATATATATATATTTCTTAAAAATCTGATGAGGGTATTGTTGTCCAAAAAAGTAGTCCAACTATAGAAAGATTCTCTAATAGGAGGAATATATGGGACACCCAAAATGATATATTGCCTGTAAATATGGGACGAAGGGAGCAGCATTTTTTCAATTCGGTTCACTTTCTTTTTCTCATTCCTTATACTCGTCCTTTACTGTTTTACATAAATATTTCATTAAGCAATTCTTTAAATATGGTCTTCCAAATGTTATTCTTTTTTCACTTGAATAACTCTTCTTATCACTTGTAGCTTCTATAACATAACATCTCGAATTGGTGTTAAACAATCAGGGGTCGTTTGGTTCACCCGGGGTAAACGGAATGGAATGAACAAAGGGAATGGAAGAGAATGGAATAAAAATACCCAATATTCTCTATGTTGTTTGTTTTAGAAATAAAGGGAAACAATCCCATCACCCCACCACCCCACAACCACCACCCCACCACCCCACAACCACCACACAACCACCTAATTTATTCACTTTCCACTTTTTGTAGCCACCATCCGTCCACCAAGCCACCATCCGTACCTTTGCCGCCCTTCGCCGGCCCCGGGCATGCAGCTCCCTCTTCCCCGAAAATCAACCCCGAAAACCCTAGAAACTAACCCAGCCCTTAGAAATCCCTCTCTCTTCAGTTTCGAGGGTGGGGGAGGGTTGGACGGCGGTTTTGCGAGGAAAGGGAGGGATTTCTAGGGGCTAAGTTAGTGTTTGCGTGAGGAGAAGGGAGTTTTACGGGGAGGGGGAGAGGCGGCAAGGGTTGTTGGGGACGCGACGAAGGTCGTTGGAGAGGCGACGAAGCAATGGGTAGTGCGGTGGTTGGGTTTCTCGGTAGTGTGTGGAGGTAGGAAGGTGGTGGTGTGGTGGTGTGGTGGTGGCTAGGGAATGGGAATGAAAAAGTCTAGAGGGTGGGGAATGAACTTAGAGGGATTTAGGGTAATGAAGAGGGGAAAGGGAATGAAAGAAAGTGCTAAACAGACATCAACAAAGGGAATCGGGCCAGTTGATTCTCATTCCCTTTCATGATTACCCCCAACCAAACGGCCCCTCAATTATTTTATTTTTCACCTACACTTGAATAACTCTTCTTATCACCATAATCATTAACTACTATACCACCCCATAGTTTGCATATTTCCAGTTAGTTAGTAGCCTACCTGATTTGGCTCACACATATATCGCTATCACTCGCCTTTATTACTACCTCCAGTTCAATTTACTCGCAACAAAGGGGTAATATTTGTGAGTTTGTTGCGAGTAAATTGAACCAGAGGTAGTATTTTGTGTTCTTAGCACTATAAAGAGAGATTTTTGCACATTGCATAGAGTCAAACGAAAAGATACATTTGAATTTTAAAAATTACTATTTCTAGATTGTAGAATGAAGGAGGGTAGAGAAAGTAAGAGGATGAAATTTGGACTAAGGCCTTGTTTAGTTCACCTTTAAAAATAAATTCAGATCAGAAAAATAAGTTCATATCAAATCATCGTTTTATCAACAGTTTTTTATCGCTAAATATCTTTAATTTCGTGATTAAAAAAATTCTAAAAATCCCATATTAATAAAATACATATTATTACGAATCTAACAAGACTTGATATATTTTTTTCCGTATATATTATCGTATATTTAAGGTCAAAGCTTGGTCAAATCTGACATTCATATCAGATCAGATCAGATCAAATAAGCAAATATAAGGCGAACTAAACAGGGCCTAAATCTAGTACCAAATTGAATAATGACAATAGCAAAAGTTTCAATATTAAGGGACAGATGGAGTAATATTTACTGTGTCAAATATAAAAATAACAAACCCTAATATTTACAACAACAATTATTAACTAAAGCAAGATTTATTTATTTTTTTAATTTATTTTTTAATTTTTTTTTAACTTGTACCCAGCTGTTTGATAAAGTGCCTAGCAGCAGTTCTGTAACTCTACCATGCCTATGAATGTAAGCTCCAAAGTCACCAACTCACCACCATCAAAATACTCCAATACCAAGAATATCCTCTCCTCTGTCGATAAAATCCATCAGAAAACAAAAATTACAATATACGGTGTAAGAAAATAAACTATTAATCTGTAAAAATTAAAAGAATGAATAATAATCAAATAATCTCAATCTCAGCTCAATGGCTTCAAAAAGGTGAATTATATATTGAGATGAGTAATAATTCTAAAAATGAGAAACACCTAATACAAAAATCACAAACATTGCCATACGTCCATACCTTGAATGTACTTTGTGTACGAAGAATCGTAGCAATATTCTGCATTACTCGTTGCATGTTCAAACGGATTTGGGATATTTGAAAAGTACCATTAGAATTTCCTAGCTTGTCTAACCACTCAATAGTCTTCTCTCCAGCATTCTTAAATAATTGTTTCTGCTTCTCTACTACGAAATACAAAATTATGAGTATGCTGGCGACACTGCACTGATTTTGTAAACATTACAATTGACAAATTTGTACAGGAAGCCATCTAGCAGCGATACTGCACCAGTAAATCAAGTAGGTTAAGTTTCTAATACTTAGCACATCACAGTCAGACATCCCTATATCAAAGACGCTCAGTTTTCCTATCAGCTCAAGACTAAAGAACATTGGATACAATTCTGAATCGATTCCAATATCTTCAGCTTGTAGAAATCAACCCACACTGAACACATGCACAAAATTAGATACAGGTTAATGAACTATATATAGTGAGCTGTAATGAGATACTGAGATAGATTTTACAATGCTTGCTACCAGCTTGACTGAAGATGCATATTTGATTTTAGCTTACCATACTTTGAGTAGGTTCATTGTACAGCCTGGGCCTGCAGTGCTACCATTTTATCAGGTTTAAACTCACGCCTTATTCACTATGACTAATGTTTGTAGAGTTTCCTTCCCTTTCAACAGCAATAGAACTTCCTTTTTTAGAAAAAGGAGATTAATATAAACAAATTAAATATATGTTACCTGATATAAAGAGCTGGATCACACAAGAACCATCTACAATCCTCCTTACCATTAAAAAAAGGCGAAAATGAAAAAGATATTTTGACTGACTGTTCTGAATTACATCAAAATAAAGATAGAATGTCAAGCTTTCAAGTGGCCTGATTAACTATAAAGAGCTAAACTAAGCTAACACAATAATTTCATATTACAAATGCTTCTCTTTGCCTACTCTTTTTTATTTCTAGTATTTCTGATTCTCATTTACCTCTATTAACCGACTATCCTCCTCCTCATAATACTATTAGCATCAGTAAATTACATTACCTATAATGCCCTTCCCCTTAGGCAAATTCCAAATAGAATAGTGGGAGATTTCCTGATATAAAATTTCAAATAACTTTGGGGTAGGAGCCCATCACTAAAACTAATTGATATGACTCAGGTTAGTCAGAGTCATTAATCTAGGCAAAAGATCAAGAGTAGCAATTGAAGTCATCCAAGCTATTCCAGGTAGCTCTACTGTTTTAATATATCAGATCATATTTACTCTACTCGAACAAGAACAATTAGATGGATTTCCATATGATTTCCCTAGGTGGGCATGCTAAAGATTTGGAATCTAATGTGTCCATTATAAGAAAATTAGCCTTGTATCCCTTTTATTACAGCTTTGCTTACCCACCTCTCTCTCGCATTATAAACTTCCAAACCCTGCATCTCTAAATCTATAGTTTCCTACTTTCCACCTTCCCCGAGCCAATAAACATTATACTCTTTCTCATTCCCTCTTTTTACTCCTCCAAATCCTACACTCCTTTTCCTTCTCTTCTCTTGATAATGTTTGTATACGCTTGGGTGCAAGGTGCATCGAAAGAGTATTTCAGCTAACCTAATCTAATTTCACATCTTTTAGGCAATTTTTATATAAAAGGTTTTCCTTCTCTCTAACCTCTCCCTTAAGCTAAACTAATCTAATTTCACATCTTTTAGGCAATTTTTTTTACTTACATGACTGGCAGCATCATTGAAATCAAGTTATGGCCCAGAACTTAAGCTATGAATTGAATTTCCAGCAGCCGCAACCAAATAATTCATATTACAAAGGCTTTCCTTCTCTCTTCTGTTATTGGTAGTTCTTAGCCTTCTAGCAGCAAAAACAACTAAATAATTACAAAATGAAAACGACATTTAAAGAAAAGAAATTAAATTACAAAGTAAAAATGCTAGGATTACAATTGAATCACACAAGAAAACAAAGCTAAGGACATAAGTTCTACAATGTAAAGCGATGAGATAATTCATACATTACAACAAATAATTTCTTTTTAAAAAAAGTACTTCGTATATTTTCTGAAGTTACTTACAAATTTGAGAAAGGTCATAAATCTTAACACTTCAGCATTTTAGTAAAAACAGAAAAAAAATCCTCAAAATATATAAATAAACATATAAGCTGGCTAAACTTAAAAATAAAAAAGTACTCGTGAAATTTAACTCATGCATTGCATAAAAGAAAACAGATAGTGCACTATCCTTATTTAATTTATTTTTTTTTAACACGAATATAGTGTACTATCAAAAACAAAGAAACTACCTCAAAGATACATGAAAGGTATGGTAATACTTATGCTGCTGCCGCGCCGCCTTTGGTATTGCTCTATAACATGCCACTTTGCAGCACGTACAATATCTTCAATCTGGAGTATCCAATCAGTAAAGCACCAAAAGATCGTCAAAAATCAGAGCTAAATAACTACCCTTAGATATCAACCAAGGAACACAAGTAATATTTTTGAAATTACAAACAAATATTCCTAAAATCTGAAAGCAATATGCATTAACACAACATGATACACAGTAAAAACAAACTGTGGTAGAGCCATTCTCTCAAGAATGGGTGCATAAGGCATTGGTACGTCGGCCCCAGCAATCCTCACAATAGGTGCATCAAGATATTCAAAGCTATCCTCAATAATAGATGTACTGTCAAGAACATCAGAGTATGTGAACAGGTGTAGCAAATCATGCAACTCAAGGAGATCAAGAGAAACAGAAAACTCACATCAGCCTTAATAAATTCAGGTAAGCTGACACACTTGTTTCTGTAGTTCTGCTCTTACAGTCTTATTCAGCATCAGTATTATTGATTGATCTTAGAAAATTTTAAGTCGGTCAGAAAAATTTGCAATGTGGTGTTATAGTAGAGTCAAGCAGACAGCAGGCGTTTTGTCTCGGCATTTGAATAAAATTTTCTCCAACTATTTCTCATATAAATGAGCAGAAGATGTTGAGCATCCACAATTACACGGCTGGAAGTGCCTAAGTCATCAGTGATATGTGCCAACAGACTTAAAAGTTCTGACTAAAACCTTGACATGCGCAATATCCCATATAACTTTTATCCACTTTCATCTTGAACATATGAATTAAACCATCATTCTTAGGATATGTGCCTCTCAAATATTGGGTTTTATTGCTCACATTATATCATTCTGACTACAAGGAATTTACATCCCTAAGGTAACTTCATAGTTCTGTAGCATATAGCTAAAATATTCTATTATACTAATGCAGCTTTCTGTCTTGTCGTTTAAGACAAACCGAGTCTCTTGATTATATTGCTACAGAAAACCACATAATGCAAAGAAGGTGCACCAAGGAAGCTAAACCAATAATACATAATTTAAAACCAATAATACAGAATTTAAAAACCGTACGATTCCACGGAATATAGATTCAGCCCTTGATAGCCTTCAAAAGCTGAGTTTGTGGCAATTTCATATGAATGCTAGATTCTGACCTTGAATCCTTGATAATCTCCACAAGTTGATCCACTGCATTCTCACCAAGTCACCAGGGAACAATGGCAAGTTATGAGACAAGGATTAAGAAAGTAAGGATCAACGAAAAGAGGATTATGGAATGCAAGCAGCAGCAAGTATACAATTCATAATTACAGTTTTTTTTTGCTAATTTAAGTTAATAAATCAGCAAATAAAATTGAACTAAAAATTGATTTGCCTAGCACTATTGATTTGGAGACAGCAATGACAAAAACCTACGAAGATAAATAGTAAATGTAACCACAGAGGTATTGTGACCATCAATGGATCTCTCCTTGATCGCATTCTTAATCAAAGAGACCACCTCCGACATCAATTCAACAACAAATTTCTTCAGGCTAGAATTGGTTGGGAATTAGTTCTTGAACTGGTTGAAATAAACTGTGATAATTTAATCACTGCAAAAATTTGGGAAATGGACTATTTCAATCATGATACCCGTGATAAATTATTCGGCATGTGTACAGTCTACAAAGATTTTCAAAATTAAATTATTTATTTCTAATTGCCAGAAATATTATAAATTCGGTACGAAAGTGTACATAAATGATAAATTGGGGTTTAAATCATTTGATGATAAAATGACTAAATGCTGTAGATTACTTGTCACTTACTCTCTATCAATTTTTTTTTCATCAGATGAGTTAGCAGGTCATAATTACCACAACACAAACCAACCAAAGACATCAATAAAACTGACTCCGTATAACACTTGAAAAACTGTCACATTGTAATTTTCCCAGTGGACAATGAGGATGAATAGATGAATACTTAGGTAGCAGGAGGCATTGGAGTAGATTGTGCCACAACCAAAACTTCAGCATTCAAACAGACAATTGCATACATCAACCAAAGCTAGAGCATCCCAAAACACACAGTAATTCACAGTAACTCATTAGATAATTGTCACTCCATCCGGCTGGTTTTAGATTCGTTTTAAACAACCTATCATTATTTACTTATATTGATATTGACATTTAACAACCACAATAATAAATGTTTTATAATAAATCTGAATTATGATATTGCAAAAGACAATAATAAATTGAAGAATAAAAAAATCAGAACAGGAAGAAAATGCTTAATTGAAAAAAGAATTCATATTTGTACCATAGTAAAGACTCCGTAAGAGATGTAAGCTTGACGCCATTGCTTCTTGACAGGATAAGAGACACAAAGCGAAAGTCAACCTCTTTGGTCCAGCCATAAGCTCCAGAAAGTTCCCCTAACAGAACGATTCAATAATTTTCCCTTTCCTTACACCCTTCAATTTAGGGCCTGAGTCAGTTATCAAGTAGTTTAAAGTCAAATTTTGTAACGCAGCGTATTTTTATTATTTTAGATCACTAAACAACACAGATTATTGATTGTAAATTATTGTCCATGAACTGATCAGATTAATAACATTGTTCCAAAAAAAAAATTTTAAAAAAAAAAATTCTAGCAATTTACCAGCAGTTATCTGTAGCTTTCTTATATACTTGAAGGCTCGTAGTTGAGGTTGGGGCATGTAAGACTTGCTGCAGAAAACATGATGCTCACGCTGAGCGATGCCACAAGAACAGGACCTCCAAGATCACATGCTTTGCCTTGTTGAAAAATCTTCAAAAATAAGTTATCAATGGGAACATCATCAAATTCAAGAATAACTGCACTGAGTAACTAGTGACATAGACAACAAGACAAGAAACAGGCAATGATGAAGAACTTTGGTATACATTTGTTTATCACTCTCACTTTAAGCAATTCTACTCCAACTGGATATGTGTCTAGACTCGATAATTAGTTTATTTTTAAAATTTCTAGATTATTCGTTTCTTTTATTGTTAACCTGTTAGCTGTTAGAGGTTTGATGGCTTGGATGGGTGAGTCTATTTCTGATGATTATTGGAGATAATGGCCTTGCAATAATAACTGAGAGACAACACTTGCTTATGATAATAAAGAATTATCTGTA